AGAGGAGAACGTTCCTCTTGGGAGGCTAATACTATCTTGGACTAGTCGCATGCTAACTATATTCGATCTCAACGCCAAACATCCAATGCCATCAATTGTACCATCATACATACGTAATCGAAGACGAATTCCAGGCTTTGAGCGTTACATCCGCCATCATACTTTGACCTACGCGCGAGGATGGAACCTCATCTTCATCTCCGGCTTCTTCCACAGCAGAAACATCTTATTATCCTGAACCCAGTCAATATCCTTGTCAACCAGCTCCCACTCCTCGTAGGCCCACACCAACTTGGCCAATATGATCCTCAACTCTAGGTACGCCAAGTTGATGCCGAGGCAAGCTCTCGGGCCCAGCGAAAACGGATTGAAAGCCTTCTTTTGGTCGCCGAACCCATCTCCGATCCAGCGTTCCGGTAGAAAGGTGTCGGGGTCGTGCCAGTACCTGGGGTCGTGCTTAGTGGCCCAGCTCTGCGTCGAGACAAGCGTTCCAGCAGGGACATAGTGACCAGAGACCATCTCGCCTGGGGAGACTCGAGGGAGTCCGAAAGCTACGGGGGGATACATCCGAAGTCCCTCCTCAATGACAGCTTGGAGGTAGGGAAGTTTGGCAGTTGCATCCCCATTGATTTCTTCGTACGAACTGAATGCACTCGCGATCTCCTTCCGCAGCTCAGCCATGCAGTGGGGATATTTCGACAAGAAGTATGCAAGGCCAGACAGAGTCGTGGCTGTTGTCTCTGACCCAGCGATAATCAACAACTCAGCGTTAGCCTCAAGCTTGCCTTGGGTCCAATCACCCTTTGACAGTATGGACTTGAAGAAGTCTTCCCTGGTAATGGTGTCCTTCTGCTGGACTCTCTTCTCTGTCTTTTCCTTGGTGAGCTGGTTGTGCATCTCATAACCCTTGGCAAGGTCCCTGTCGACGAGGAACGGAATAACGAGATTCAACAGCGGGACTTGTCTGCGCAAATCGAGAACGCTTCCCCAAAATGCAGATTCCACGATGACCGAGACCCAAGGGTGTGTCTTTCCATCTTTGACGGCGTCAAACGACTCGCCGAACGTGAGGTCGCCAATGATGTCGAAGGTAAGCCAGTTGAAAGCTTCGGGGACATTGACACCTTTAGTGGCGGCGCCACCAAGCTTCCCGATCTGCGCAATGAACATGTCGACGTACTGATGCACAACGTCCTCTTGGTCCCGGAGAGCCTTCGCGCTGAACGCTGCCGACAGTGATTTCCGCTGTATGCTGTGCTCGATTGGATCACGGGCGGTGACTATGCTTTTTTGTTTGTCGGAGTCGTAGAAGTTTGACTTGAGAAACGATCGCCTTCCCTTGCCCGTGTGGCCGTAAATGTCTTTCCAAGACTCCGCCGACGCGAACGAAAGCTCGTTAGGTCCAGTGCGAACAACGTCTCCGTACTTTCGATGCGCTTTGGCTAGATGATGCGGCCAGTCACCACTGGTCCAGTGGAAGACATACCACAGCTGTTTAGAATCAGCACGGCGAAAGTGGAGAGAAACCGATGCCATACAATGCTTATGGCAGCGAATTTGGGTCCTGGGAATTTTGCGAGAGGATGGAAGTAAAGCCTGTACACTATATTGACGCCGAGATAAATCATGCTCTGAGATAACTTAGCAGAGAAACGATGGACTTGGTCAGCGTAACTTACTGTTAAAATTAGGCCAAAGATGTACCCTCCGACAGTGTCGGGAATCACGTTCAAGAGTCCCATAATGTAACGATGCAGTGAAGTGCCAACTAGGTATACTGATTGCCAGGTCGCTCGGTGTGTTTATTCTTTTGTCTCGAGGTATCAAGGCATTTATATACCCTTTCTACGATATTGCAAACGGGTATCATATCCTAGTTCATGTGGTCATATCCCACCTCTTACCCCACCTCTTGTGCAGACCTGGATGCTTGCACATGTGGATCGCACAGCTGTAGACACGAAACCCAATACGCGCAATACGGTGTCTGGTAGCTTTGTACGTCAGGGTTCTGAAGTATTGCTCGGAGTGTCCTCGGGATTTCTTGCTCGCTATTGGCTGGCAAACATTCTGAAAACGAAGATGGTGTTGCCGGATACCGGCAACAGAGCGGTCCGTTACCGTAGGTCTGGTAAACGCCAGCTTGAAGTCACAACCGACGCAGGTTACATGTATGTCGAGGCGGGGACCTTTGTGGGCCCAAGTTGAACCAATGTACGCATGTCTTGTTTCACGTTCTACCGAGATCGCAGCAATCCCCACTCGTTTTCGACTCAATGTTGACCATCACTTTGCATTCTCCATTCCACGTCGGTTGCTCACAAGTACCAAGCAGCATGCGCTTAATCCTTTTATGGTTTTCTATCGCGCAATCATCTTGAGGGTATCTCGTGGCGAGCCGCCAAGCCTTGCTTGCTTATCTAACATGTTTATCCACTCACAACGCTTCCTTTTGTATCACTTTTGGACGGCAGTCTATGTCTATATTTGTCTATCACTTTACGGGACACTACTTTGTAGTTTGAGTCAACAATCAGAAAACCACACAGTGGTCGTAAAGTGCGATGCACATCAAATACTATACTGCTTTGGCCAAGCACAGAACAAACAAACGGTAAATCGAGAATTTACTGGGTGATGGTAGTAGTTTGCCATCAACAGGTGTTGCAATAATTATTGAGCGCTGGTCTAAGCTTAACGCGATTAGCTGGCACCCTATATTCCCTGCGAGATCTGTTCTCCTCTAGTAGAATTAGGGTGGCAAGGTATTAGTTATCATTGGAGCGCTCAATAATTACTGCACCACCTGTTGCCATCGTGTTGTCAAATGACCTAAGCCGGAATTGACTCACAGGTGGGTAAACCTGTTCTACGATAACTGCCTACAGCCATAAAGCTAACGACGTGACTCTATTCTTCAACACACAGCGGAAGGCGATCACCCGAGATCCGAATGTGAGCAGTCTCCACATAACTGTATGGAAACCTGTATTGAACTCCTTACCATCATGGCAGTTTTAGGTCTAGATCACAATAGATCAGTCCTTGGCGTTGTGCGTCGCACCGTTCCGTAATACGAGCCAACGGCTGACTTGGATGTATCGCCTGTTTTCCCATTAGAGGAATCCTGCATAGAAATTCGAACAGGTCAAGATACAGACAGGATAGTTGTATGGCTCGACGTGCGAATAGATTCTGGTCTTTTGGTACGTGAGAAGGAAGAGTCAGCACCAGTACCTATGGTATTCGACGATAATGAAGCACAGAGGGGGACGAAAGCAGATCGAGCGATGTCCAGAACTCCTCTCCTATATCTACCTAAACAATTGCATCATAGAACTAGATACGGATTAGAGCGCGAGTTACTCTAGTATTAAATAATCTTATAGGTTATATTAACGCTTCTTATCCCAACGCGAGAAGTTTTTCCTATCTCGGTGTCTGGGTTAACTGTTCGGCGCCGGTAAAGACTGGGCATATGTTCTTGAGCGGACATCCTTCTAAATACGATCTGAGACCCGATGTGGTAGTGTTTTAATGCGAAGTTCATCTCACTATACGACATGGCTTGCCGGGCCGCGCGGACATCATTTCCTACTTATTGCCCTTGTTGTCTCCTTCGATGCGGCGGCATTCATTCGCAAGTCTTCTTTTTGATAGGTCAGTGTATAGCTCGCGCGAGAAGATTATTGCTTACCCGGGTAATCATACTCTAAAGAACCCCGCAGCGGTCGAAATATCTCACAATGAATCCTCTATAAGAAACGCACGGTGCGGGCCGCGAGTCAAAGACAACGCGAGGCTCGCTTTGGCACAGGGGTTCCTCGGGCAGAACTGTTGGGGTCGGTCGCTTATGTCGCGAACCAGAGCCGCACAAGGTGGAACGACCATCCACCACAACCTCTATAGTTAACCCATCATACGTTCGCAGTAGTTATCCGAGGATCAATAGCTCGAGATTCTGTGCACATTCTGGACGTAGAGTGATGTGATGAGGAGTAGACACGCGGTGTTCAGAGCCCAGTTGGTGCCCAGCCTGTTCGACCCGCTCGGCCGTACTACCGGCCCCTAACTCCACTCGCGTAACGCCACGTCGTCCCTCAGGCTTCGGTAGCGTCTTGTTCATCTTTGTTGCTTATAAGCTTGGGGGGTCATCACTCTCTAAACCATTTTTTGACTATATATAAATGAAAATAAGCTCCACTTGCATCAAAACACTTGAGCCTATACAAGTTCAACGTCGGCTTCATGGTCTAGTGGTATGATTCCTGCTTTGGGTTAGCATCCTAAGCTGCAGGAGGCCCCGCGTTCGAATCGCGGTGGAGCCCATCCTTTTTCGCCGTCGGACGGGTGTCTACAGCGTTGTACGACGTCCGGATGTTTCCTACCGTCCCGCAAGGCGACAATGCGGTTCTTTTTGCTCATTCTTCCACCCTTGACGTGAAGTAGGGGGGTGTTTTTTCTTTGGTACGTACATATTGTAGGTCGGAGGAGTGATTGTGCCAGGGTGCGTAGGATATTTGTTACTGCTAAAGTAGCTAGGTTTGTGCTCGTTTCTACACTTGGGAACGCGATACTTTGCACTCCAGCATGCTGAAGAACGACTAGGGCCTGCGCTGTGCCGTCCTTCTTCATCAGTATTCTTTGTACGTCCAAGTCGGAAGCAATCCTGGCCCGCCTCCTGCCCGGACTCTCGGCTTTCTGCGTCCAACCCATGCAGACTACATATATCTACGTTACACACGCTGCGCTCCCGTAGAGCTGTCATCTTTTCCACGCAGCTCGCCGCAACGAAGCACGCCGCTGTATCTCACGCCCAGCATCGCCCCTGTCAATCTCATTTTCTTGCTTTCTACGCATTTGCTGTCCGTTCCGCTGCATACACGCTCGCTGCCAATGATCTGATTACTGTCAATTTCTTCGCGTTTTGCGTTTGCGTTCAATTAAACGACATGTGCATATATCTCTCGAGCAGAAGACTACTCATCAAGCAATCCGCCGGCTGTATGGTCAAGTGGTGAAGATTCCTGCTTTGGGTCAAAGCATGAATGCAGGAGATCCTGGGGTACGCGAATCCATTGTCTAAACTGAGGAGAAGGCTAACTGGTGTACTCAGTTCGAATCCCAGTGCAGCCCGCCCTAAGGTCCGCCGTCAATACTCGAGGTTAGCTTCGGCCTTTTCTTTTTGTCTTTGTGGGGATATGTAGCACTCGTAGTATGTGTATCGTTTGCCCTCAAGCTCAATACACCTGGGAATTCTCGAAGAGACTACGTAGTTCAAGTGGTTTCGTTGTAGGTTGTATAGGATACGAGATGACTCCTAACTTGTCTATATGCTCCAAAAGTTACTTGAACAAAGATTGTGAGATATATTGTCGTAAAGCTACTTTTGATCGAGCACGTCATCTACAAATGCGGCACCTTCAAGCTAGCCAAAGCCAGATTCACGATACTGAACAGCCCCTCGCCCAGTATCAAACCGCTAGCAAGCACAACAATCTGCGTCTCGCTTCGGCCCTTCCAACGCTTCCACCACAAGCTGATCAGACCACCAATAGTACGTGCAAGCGTAAATGAGGGTGTGTTGTACATCCCTGTACGCTGTTAGTATTGAACACCACAAGATAACCTGCCAGAATACTCACCAATGGCAAAGGCAATACCACCCGGCACGAAGTCAAGCCATCTTGCGCTCAAGCCTTGCCTCTTCCTAAACTGCCCGTAGACTCTCAACATCGTCCCTACGGCAAAAATTGCTCCAGCACCCGCCGCCCATTCGCGGACCATAGGTGGCAGGCCTTTGCCTGTGACCAATCTTGCAGTGAAGACCCATACGTACGCTGTTGGAACTTCAAACAAACCACCGGGGATCTGACCAGCGTACACATGCGTGTAAAGCTTGTACACTAGCGCAGAAATCACCGCACCAACGCCCGAACCGATCATCTGGCCCCAGAACTGTGCGTTTGGCGCCGCGCCTAGCAGATGGCCGCATTTAAGATCCTGCAGTAGGTCACCTGCTTGGAGAGCTGCCGATTCGGAGACGGCACCGGCGAGCAGGTTAATGATGACCGAGTTTTTGGCGTTCGGTCCGGTGGTGGGTGTGACGAGCGCGAAGATGAGCTGTGTAAGCTTCGAGATGCCGGAAACAGGGTTGAGGTCCGTCTCGCCTAACGCGCGAACGCCCATGATGGAGAGGAAGAGCGCCAAAACGAGCGCCAGAAATGTGAGGCTGAGCGGGATGAGGTTGGGGAAAGAAATGTGTACACCAGCTATGCATGCGGCGAGCGAGAGGATGAGTCCGATGATCATTGTGCGATTCGAGATCTGGTGTTCGGGCGGTGCGTCCGGCTCGTTGTCCTCAGAAAGGTGTTGCTTGATAGCAGTGATAGGATTTGCGGAAGTACCATCGTTGAGCTGAGTGTACGCAGGCTGACGAGTAATGTTGAGGGTGAGAAGTTGTCTCCAAGTGTGCGTATCATAGATTTCTTTGGCCGAAGGAAAGTACAACCTGCCGATAGCGAGCAAAGGTCGAAAAGCGAGCCATCCGAGGTTAACCAAGGAATCTGCTAACATGATTGCAAGCGAGATCCATACAATCCATCCCTTGGAGCCATTAGTCCAGTCCGAGACAGGTCCTGGTGCCCAGCCGCGATGTTTTGCAAGTGGCGACAGTATACCCCAGCCCACTATAGCGCCCAGGAGCATATGGAGAGTTGTAGCGGGGCCCATGATAATGCCTTGTCCGATGTAGGCTGGAGAAGGATTCAACGTCCACAGCCATTTGCTTGCCAACGTAAGCCCAAAGACTGGGACGTCGTGCAGCTGCGGGATGAAGTAGGTCACTATCGTGTAAAGAGCCGAGCCAGCAAAGGATATAAGCAGCAGACGGATCCTGCCTTTCCAGTCGCCGTCATCGTCAGGATCGCTTCCTTGCCCTTCAATCTGCTGCTCGTGGGACGGTCGAAGCGCGTATTCGCCTTCTGTCTCGGAAGACTGCAAGAGGTGCTGTTCTTCTCCCCTCTCTTCCTCTCCGCCGCTAGGGTGGGACGTGGTGACTTTGGATTTATCGTCACCATGCAGGACTTGGATCATCAGGGCTGTGGCAGTGCCACTCGGGAACTTTAGCTTCTCGCGAATGATGACCTCCTTGCGCAAAGGCACAGCAAACACCACACCAAAGAAACATATTCCCAGTGACCAGACGACCAGTCTCCAAAGACTAATGTCAAGAGGACCGTTTTCTTCCTTGGTCAACAAGAAGTTGAGAGCTGGAATCACGCCGACGAATCCACATCCAAGCGGCATTGTACCCACGGCGCCAGCAACAGACTGGACAAGTACATTCTCCACGGGCGTAAAGGGAAATTTGAGCATACGAGACACCGTCTTGAAGTAAGCAAAACCAATCAGGGCTGACGGCATGGCCATGCCCGTGACCCATCCTGTCTGGAGACCAAAGTACATATTACTGAAGCATATAGCGACGCCGATAGCCAAGCCACAAAGGACGCCTCGGAGGGTGAAGTTCTGCGGTTGGTTGGCTCTTTCGGCCAGGAACCTGCGTTCTCCTGACGCTCGTGAACTGTGCCGAGACGGCGGTGGATTACTGGCACCGTGGAGTGCATGGTTTCGCTGGTCGTCATCCACGTCCACGGATTCGCCCCGGTCCGGAGCCATTGTGTGAAGCGGCAAGGGGCGCTGCAGAACCAAACAGTGTAGAAGTAGTGGGTTCCGAACAAGCGTTAAGACGACATTATTCCAAAGAAGTGAAGAGGTCGGGCGGGTGCACCTGGAGGTGGCTGAATGACGCGATGCGCATCATTGTTTTGCCGACGAAGGCATTTAGTCAGCCGCACCCCTGCATCGCATCTCCAACGTGTGTTGCAGAAGGCGCGGAATCTCCTTGCGTAATTAAGCTCACGACATATTCGCGGTTTTGCATAGACACTGCGATTGTTGCGTGGGCTCTTGCAACCATGAAGCTCTCCGCGGCCCTCGCGCCTCTGCTGCTGGCTCCCCTCGCCGCCGCCGAACACACGTCCAACTGGGCCGTCCTCGTCGGTACGTCGCGCTTCTGGTTCAACTACCGCCACCTCGCAAATGTGCTCTCGCTATACCGGACCGTGAAGCGTCTCGGCATTCCGGATTCGCAAATCATACTCATGCTGCCCGACGACATGGCCTGCAACCCCCGCAACGCGTTCCCCGGAACCGTCTACAACAACGCCGACCGCGCGCTCGATCTCTACGGCGACAATATCGAGGTCGACTACAGAGGATACGAAGTCACGGTCGAGAACTTCATACGGCTTATGACGGACAGAGTGTCCGAGGACATGCCGCGATCCAAGCGCCTGATGACCGACGAGCGGAGCAACATCTTGGTCTACATGACAGGCCATGGCGGAAACGAATTCCTCAAGTTCCAGGACGCCGAGGAGATCTCCGCCTATGATCTGGCAGATGCCTTTGGCCAGATGTGGGAGAAGAAGCGGTAAGCACAATCAAACATGGAGTGGACTGCGCTGATGCTCGACAGCTACCACGAGATGCTCTTCATGATCGACACCTGCCAGGCCAACACCATGTACTCCAAGTTCTACTCCCCAAACATCCTCGCAACGGGATCCTCCGACATCGACCAGTCCTCATACTCGCACCACGCAGACAACGATGTGGGCGTTGCCGTCATTGACAGATACACATACTACAACCTCGAGTTTCTCGAAACGAACGTTCGCGATCCCACCTCAAAGGTCACCATGGGCGAGCTCTTCGACAGTTACAACCCAGCCGACATGCATTCCGACCCTGGCATCCGGTACGACTTGTTTGCCGGTGGCGACGCTGGCGCTAGATCAAGACTGGTCATGGACTTCTTTGGAAATGTGCAGAATGTGGAGATCGACGCGGGGAGCGGAAAGGACGAGACGCAGTGGCGCGAAGAGCTGGAGGCTATCGACAAGATGATCCTGGAGGCCAAGCGGAGACACAACGAGACTCTCAATCTGCGACCGCAGGCGCAGCACATAATGGAAGAGGCAGTTGCGATGGAGCCACAGCAGAGCACAAAGAAGCCTGGGGCTGTGAAGGTTGATACAGAGTCCGGATGGTCGAAACAGATCGTGGGGGCCGCAGCATTACTCGGATTCGCTGGCGTTTGGGCCGCTGGATCATGGTTGGAGTCGCTCTGAAACCTGGAAACCCTCTCTCGATTACTCTGCAATTAGCGTCAAGATACCCTTCTTTTGTCATGAATCTCTAGCATCTCCGTTCTTCGAACCATGCGAACCAAGGCAATCTCGGTTAGTAAGAGGTGACAGGAGTCCGTGCAATCTATTCTGCGGGGCTTGGCCCGCCCAAACCCGGGGATTGGTTATCTATAGACCAATCCACCCAGTTGGCAACAATGCGCGGGCATCATACTCCACAGCCCAGTCATTGGAATCCTGGGCGAATTTGTTTGGGTTTGGTTCAATCGCGCATGGATAAAGAAAGAAATGAATTGGCGGAGGATCCACGCAGGGATCACTAGTTGTGGCTGACTGCTTCCCGCTCTTATTGGCGGACGGACCACATTCGTTTCACAGGCTGTGGAGGAACAAGAAAGGTGGTCGGTCGGCCTTCGTTATTGGCCTTGTTTGTGCTCGCATTGTTTGTACTCTTCGCCAGGCCTATGCTTCCTAGGCTGGGGCTAAGGGAAACTGAACTGCACGACGGACTTTTGGCGGAAGCTGTAACACGCTTAGGCGTCAAGGCCTATCTCAGAGCCTGATATAAGGATGGAGGAGGGCATCTTGTGGAGGAGCTATCGCGGGTCTGGTAGCAGTCGAACTCACCCACATGTTCATTGCCTCGGTGCACACCCTCTTTTCTTCGTTTCTCACCCAATACGTTCTTTACCTTTGCCCAAGATGGCAATTCGTCACATACTCTTGTCGCTTGCTCTGGCAGCTAGCTTTGCTGGCGCACAGGCTCAGCTCACTACTAGCTACACGGACGAGGCTACAGGCATCACCTTCCAGCAGAAGAACGTTGCCAACTACTCGTTCGGAGTTGCTCTTCCTGAGAATCCAACCACAGACTTCATCGGGCAGCTCTCTGCAAACACCTTGACAGGATGGGCTGGTGTC